AGGGGAGTCCCGCGCGCCCGGCCTCAATCCGGGAGGAAACTCAAGTGGGTGGGGGAGTCCCGCCTCCAGCTCCGCCTCCAGCTGGAGGACAGCAAGACCTCTCGGACCCCGGGGGATTAAAAGCCAGCGTGGCCGAGGTCCGAGTGGGAGCTCGCAGCTGCAGGGCGGTCCTGCACCTCGGGGGTCGGCATCCGGGCTCGGAGCTCCGCGACAGGAGGCGGCGGCGGCGCGCAAGGTGGTAGGTGGGGGTGTCCCAGCGTTGTGCAGGATTGGGGAGCCCGGAGAGGCCTAGGACCCCCGGGCCTGCCACTCGCGGGTGGGAGCTGAAGCTCAGGGAGGTAGCAGGGTCCAGAGGAGAGTCCGAGAAAGCGGCTCCAGCTCCGGTTTTGCAGATGGAGCCTTTGCGGACCGTGGCTGGTCGGTGGCGCAGCGTTCTCGGCCTGGAGGGGACACCAGCTGGAGATCCGCTAGTCATGGCCGACGCGGAGTCCACTCCGGAGTCTGCTTTTGGCTTCATGTTCCCTCCCCTGGTCTAAGTCTTCACTCTGCAGCGTGGCTGCCATCTGCAGGCCAGGGCGCCCTGTTCTCTCCCCTCCCTCAGACTCTGTGATCTGCTCTGCGGAATGACATCTGTCCTCCCTCTTGAGGGAGCAGGGTCCAAAGGAGAACCCGAGAAAGCGGCGTCAGCTCCGGTTTTGCAGATGGAGCCCCCCTGCAGGTCTTGGCTGGTAAGTGGCACAGCATTCTAGACACCAGCTGGAGATCCGCGACCAGCCGCCCACGGGGAGTCCACTCCAGAGTCTGCTTTCCGCTTCATGCTCCCTCCCCTGGCCTAGGTCTTCACTCTGCAGCGTGGTTGCCATCTGCAGGCCAGGTCGCCCTGTTCTCTCCCCTCCCTCAGACTCTGCAATCTGCGGAATGACATCTATCCTCCCTCTTCTGTCCTTTTAAAGTCACCAATCTCCAACTCCACATCCGAGCACTCCTTACCTATCCCAGTGCTTTCAAGAATTCAGCCCAAATTGATGGAGTCCTTCCTTTCCCCTGAGCATTCTTCCAGGTTATTAGAACCCGTGGTGTCAGCCCCAGCCCCTGCCTTCAGAGCGCTTCCAGTCTGGTGGGGACGACGAGTTACAAGGAGTGATGCACCTGTGGGTCAGAGTTCCGGGAGGAGAGAGGGAAGCCTCCTCTAGGCTAGGGCATCAGAGACCTCCTGGGCTGTGGGGTGTGACTGGTCGAGGGGAGGGTCAGTGGGGTTAACCCAGTGACTGGATGGGGTGAGGAGCCTTCTCCATAGGGTAAACAGTCTTGTGAAGTCTTGGGGGTGAAATCTTGGGGGTGCTGTTCAGAGGGATTCAGGACTAGAGGTGGAGCCTGGGAGAGGGCCTGGGGACAGAGTCCAGGATGAGCCTTTGAACTTACTGGGACAGCCCTGGGAGATGTAAGGAGAGTTGTAAAAGGATCGAGATACCTTTCCTTTCAGGTGTAGCGAGTGTGTGTGTGTGTCTGAGGGGCAAGTCCCAAGGTTGTCTGGCAGGTTAGATGTGCAGAGCAGAGCTCTGAGAGTGAAGCCTAAATGTACTAAATGTATAGACAAAGGACAGGCTCAGGAGAAGGGGACATTGGAGAGGATTTTTTTTTTTTTAAGTTTTTGTTATAGGACACATGTGCTCACCAGAAAGAGAGGGAAGGAAAGCAAAAAATCACCCCCAGAGGCAATGACCATGCCACAGTCTCTTCTCCATCTTCCTCTTGGGATTTTGAGCAGGTACGCACATGCTCCTGATGTAGGGATTTGAACCCCACAATCGGCCATGTGGGATCCAGCTGCCTTAATCTCCATGCCACCTGCTGGCCCAGTTAGAAAGGCTTTCTAGGTAGGAGGCAGACTGGATAATGAGTGTGGCGGAGAGACAGTAGTCAAGGAGGTCTCCCAGGGTCTGAGGCGAATAGCTGGGTATAGGAGCGTCTCATTTCCAAGGACACTGGAGAATGATGAGGGCTTGGGTGAGGGAGAGGATGCGTTTTGGTCTCAGATCTGTGACCGACAGACCTGCCCACCCGCATCTACACCTTGGCCTCATGGACTTCCCAGATACCACCTCCCTGTCTTCACTGGGTTTACTCCTTCTCCTTTGACTGCTCGTTCTCTGACCCTTCTCTGTCCCTCTAGCCCTTCCACCCTGCAGGAATTAATCCCTCTCTCTTGGGTGTAGTCTATTCTCAGGGCATTTGCTGGGGCTGAGTAAAGCTCCCCAAGTCTCTGTGTCTGAGGTAGGAAGAAAATTGAAAGCAAAACAAGTCAAAACAGAAACCAGGCACAGCTGCCTTGGCCCTGTGTTGGAAGATCACATCCTGTCCAGGGCACAGTGACAGGTGGGAACTCTGAACTGAGTTATGATGTCTGGAGATGTTGGCCCAGGGCTAGGCCTTCCACCCAGCAGGCGAGGGTTGCTCAACAGAAGAGCAGATTGGCTGTCCCTCACCTGGCCCAGGGCCACAGCGCAACCACTGCAGATGACAGGTTCTTGTGAGAAATTCAGTCTTGAAGGTAGGGGGTCATGAAGGATTGAGAAAAGAGATGAGGAAAAGATTCAAGCAGGGGGCTAAAACTCTCTTGGAGCAGAAGCAAAACTGCACCTGAGCAGAAACCATTTATTCCAAAATAAGTCAGATAAGCAGTGGGTGAGTTTGGCTATAGAGAACAGTGTACGATATACATGACATTCTTTGTAGGATATATTCCTGGTACTAGGTCAATAGCTACCATTAACTTAGTACTTAGACAACATTTTGGCTCGTGGAAATGTTGCCGAACATTGTGAGACACAGTCCCCTGGAGCACCATCTGGTTGACCACACAGTCCCTGCGGCATTCAGGCAGGAATGGGGCTGCCTTCAACTCCTGGCATTCTTCCCTTCAGGCTATCTCTCAGACCTGGGCTGGTTTCTGTCTCCACCAGGTTCTTGCTTCAAATTCGATTTTGTAACAGCTTCAGCCTGATTTCTGAATCAGCATTTCTAGATATTTTGAGTACGAGCTATTAGGCCAGAGGCCATGGTCTGGTGTACAATTGAAAATCTCACAAGGACTCTTCCTAAATAGTACGGGGTGATGGAAGCCGGCTGGAGAGCTGTTGATGAACGTCTGTTCCCATTCTGTATTTCCTTCTCCTTTCCTCCTCTTCCCAACCAGGCACAGCTGCCTTGGCCCTGTGTTGGAAGATCACATCCTGTCCAGGGCACAGTGACAGGTGGGAACTCTGAACTGAGTTATGATGTCTGGAGATGTTGGCCCAGGGCTAGGCCTTCCACCCAGCAGGTGAAGACTGCTCAACAGAAGAGCAGATTGGCTGTCCCTCACCTGGCCCAGAGCCATAGTGCAGCCATTGCAGATGACAGGTTCTTGTGAGAAATTCAGGGCTTGGGACCAGCAGTTAGTGTAATGGCTATGTTGCTGGACTTGCACGTAGTCGGCTGTGGTTCGCGTCCTGGACCTGGTGGCTTAAAATTCACGCTGGGTGCGTGTGCATGCATGCCCAAGATCCTAAGAAGAGGATGGAGGGGAAGAGATTATGGCATGGCCATCCCCCTTGGGGGGTGATTTCTTGCTTTCTGTCTCTCTGTCTCTGTCTGTCTGGCGAGCGCACGCGCCCTACAGTGAAAATCTCTAAAACAAAAAAATAAAAAACAAATTAAAAAAAAATAAATTCAGGGCTTGAAGGTAGGGGGTCGTGAAGGAGATGAGGAAAAGGTTAAAGCAAGGGGCTAAAGCTCTCTTGGAACAGAAGCAAAACTGCACCAGAGCAGAGACCATTTATTCCAAATTAAGTCAGATAAGCAGTGGATGAGTTGGCTATAGAGAACACTGTACGATATACATGACATTCTTAGTAGGTTGTATTCCTGGTACGAGGTCGATAGCTATCATTAACTTAGAACTTAGACAACATCTTGGCTCGCAAAATGTTGCCCAACAGCCCATGCCTGGAGCACCATCTGGTTGACCACGCAGTCCCTGCGGCATTCAGGCAGGAATGGGGTTGCCTTCAACTCCCTCCGGCATTCTTCCCTTCTGGTTGTCTCTTGTCTGGGCTGGTTTCTGTCTCCAACAGGTTCTTGCTTCAAATTCGGTTTTGTAACAGCTTCAGCCTGATTTCTGAATCAGCATTTCAAGAAATTTTGAGTGTGAGCTATTAGGCCAGAGGTCATGGCCTGGTGTACAATTGAAAATCTCACAAGGACTCTTCCTAAATAGCACGGGTGATGGAAGCCGGCCGGAGAACTGTTGACGAACAGTTTCTGTCTCCAACAGGTTCTTGCTTCAAATTCGGTTTTGTAACAGCTTCAGCCTGATTTCTGAATCAGCATTTCAAGAAATTTTGAGTGTGAGCTATTAGGCCAGAGGTCATGGCCTGGTGTACAATTGAAAATCTCACAAGGACTCTTCCTAAATAGCACGGGTGATGGAAGCCGGCCGGAGAACTGTTGACGAACATCTGTTCCCATTCTGTGTTTCCTTCTCCTTTCCTCTTCTTCCCTGACTCTGTCCTCACATGAGGGAGCTGGACCTTATGGGAAAGGGACTGTGTTGTGAGGGGTGTGTGTGGGAGGCAGGGAGAGGCTGCTTTGTTGATTTTCTGAAGGCTCCCAGCTGCCTCACTCTCCTGCCACCACTACATTTAGCTAATTACTTTCACATTTGGATTTATTTTTTTGGATGGTGAGCAATAGTCAATGAATTTTCCTCCAACTTAAAAATACTAAATGGATTAGAGATGAAAGCTCATGAATGGATAAAGAAGAGAAGTTTATTTGGCTCACGGTTCTGGAGGCTGGGAGGTCCAAGGGCATGGTGCGGGAATCTGGTGGGAGCC